GTTTTAAAATGTGCTTGATGTGTAACATGCTTTTTTCTTTTACAGATCTGTTACATGCAGACTACTCAGGATTGGACCGTAGTGAATGACCCTGCCATGAACGAGCCCTATGCCTACTACTTCCCCATGAATAACATTTGGTGCTCGTACGACCACGCAGCCTCCGTCGCTACGAAGGTGAGGCTGAATTTCTGTCTGTGTACAAATGGCCTCCTTTTCATATGAAATAAAAAATATCCCTGCAACTTATCCTTATATCCACAGGCAGAGTATGCGAAGGCTAAAGGCCTGGCTGGCACAATGGTCTGGAGTGTGGAGACCGACGACTTCCGTGGATTATGTCACAACCGCAAGTACCATCTGATAAAGACCATGGTTGAGGTGTTTGGTGGTGGCTCCATCACCGAGCCTCCACCGCTCCCCACAACCACCAGGGTAAGTAGGCGATATTTTATCTTTATTTTAAGTCTTCGTATATTTTTTTCCAATTTATCACTATAATCTGCATTCAGTTTCTAGCTTTGTATCATCAGTAAATACACCTCTTTACACCTGAAACCACTTGAAATGGACGGTCTCTCTGCCAGGACCCCAACGAGCCAACCACCACGACCAGAGCGCCTCCCCCTCCTGGTGTCCACTGCAGCCAACCAGGCCTCAACCCAGATCCCCTGGACTGCACCCACTACTACCTGTGCTCTCTCGTTAGTGTCATTACGTTGTTCTTTTCTGAATTAACTACGATCTGGTTTGCGAAAACTATATTTGTCATAACTGTACCATATAGTCCTGGTGCAAAGGTAGAGGAAATGCATCAAAATACTAACAAAACGTCTAAGCTCGCTGTGTCATCCCGAACAGAACACCTCGGGCGGTTACAACGAGAAGGAGGAGGTGTGTCCTGAGGGAACGCTCTACAATCCCCAGAGCTACTACTGCGACTGGGCTTCTTCCGTGTGTCATCTCGGCGAAGACGTTTGCCCGAATGACTGCTGAGTAACTCGTTGAGGGTTAAAAGCAGATGTGCCACAATAATCAGCTTTTCAAATATGTACTTGAAATTGGACGTCC